AGCAATGGGGTAAGGATTTTCATCACCACCAACAAATCAGTGGTCAGGGTCAACAGTTGCAGGGCCACGGTTATGGCCAGTAGCAGAAGATCGATGCACCACCTGCCATTCCGAGGATAGAGGGACCAGCAAGCCAGATTCACGCTATCCAGAAAATTCCTAAGGGATAGATAGTCTCATAAATTCTACCGCTAGTAGCACAACATTCACCAGCCACCTACAAAGTTTATGCAATCATACTGCGTGATCATGGTGCAAGCGGAGCTTTCTTAGTGATTATTCTTTTCTAGCTCGGCTCTTGTTCGATTCAGGAGCCTCGCATTCCTTTATCTCTCATACCTTCATGGATAGGTTTCAGCTAGTTGCACATCCCTTAGATCTTCTATTATCTATGTCTACTTCTTTAGGGGAGGTATCCCTATTGGAGAGTATCTATAGGAGATGTGTCATCAGTCTAGACGAGTGCGAGTTTATCATTGATCTGATCGTTTTGCGGATGTCAGAGTTTGACGTCATCCTCGGTATGGATTGGCTATCATCCTACCACATTAATATTGATTGTTTTGCTAAAACAGTTAGCTTGCGAGTGTCTGATGGGTCTAAGTTAATCGTAGCAACTTCACAGGGCAACCAGTTTGCGGAGTCATTTCTGGTATACATCGAGGAGGTGATGCTGAGGGATCAGGGTGCCGAGTTGTGTGAGACTAGAGTTATCTCGGATTTTTAGGATGGTTTTCAGGATATACCTGGGTTACATCCTGTGAGAGAGGTTGAATTCTGCATCGAGTTATAGTCGGGCACGACACCGATATCCAGAGCACCCTATCGTATGACACCTGCTGAGATGAGGGAGCTAATGACTCAGCTGGATGAACTATTATCTCAGGGTTTTATCCGTCGGAGTCATTCTCCATGGGGAACACTAGTCCTTTTCGTGAAGAAGAAGAATGGTAGTATACGCCTATGTATAGACTATCGCGAGTTGAACAAAGTTACTATCCGAAATATGTACCAACTATCGAGGATTGATGACTTATTTGACCAGCTGCAGGGAGCACAACATTTCTCTAAAATTGATCTTTGCTCTGGCTATCATCAGTTACGGGTTCGGGAGATGGATATTCCCAAATCCGCCTTTCTTACTCGATATGAGTCTTTTGATTTCCTTGTAATGCCATTTATGTTGACCAATGCAACCGCGGTATTCATGGATTTGATGAATCGGATTTTCCGTCCATACTTGGACCAGTTCATTATCGTCTTTATTGACGACATCCTTATATATTCGAGATCGGAGGTAGAATACGAGCAGCATCTTCGTTTGGCATTACAGACATTACGGGAGCATCAGCTGTACACCAATTTTAGCAAGTACGAGTTTTGGCTTTCTGAAGTCAGATTTTTAGGACATGTTATCAGCCAGGAGGGTATTGTAGTAGACCAAACTAAGATAGAGGTCGTACTAGATTGGGAGTCGCCGAAGATGGTTACAGAGATTCGTAGTTTCCTGGGATTAGCAGGCTATTACAGGAAGTTCATTCAGGACTTCTCGAAAATTACGACACCGCTTACACGTTTTACAAAGTAGGTGTACAGTTTGTTTGGGGCACAAAGTGTCAAGAGGCTTTTAAGACTTTAAAGACTAAGTTGACTATAACACCAGTATTGGTTATTCCGAGCAGTGATAAGACCTTCGTAGTCTACACAGATGCGTTGTTAGCGGGTCTAGGAGGCGTTTTGATGCAGACCCAAAGGGTAGTAGCATACATTTCATGTTAGTTGAATAGAACTATCCCATACATGACTTGGAGCTAGCAGCAGTTGTCTTCCCATTGAAGACATGGAGACATTACCTGTACAGAGTACAATTCGAGCTATTCAGAGATCATCATAGCTTGAAGAACCTCTTCTCTTAGAAAGAACTAAATCAGAGACAGTGACGATGGGTTGAGTTCATTAAGGATCATGAGTTCGCGATTCAGTATCATCTGGGGAAGGTAAACGTTGTAGCAGACGCGTTGAGCAGGAGGCGTTGACATCGGATTTTAACTTTGAGATGCTCGTTGTATCGAGATTTTACACCCTCAGCCAATTCAACTTCAGACTAGAGATCGGCGGGAGCAGCTCATTCTTAGGAGCACTGTCAGTGTAGCTATCCTGGAATGATAGAGTAGTCGAAGCACAACTAGAGGATTCTTGGATTCAAACCCGAAAGGAGAATATTTCCAAAGAATCAAAAGCAGATTGGACCGTTGGAGTAGATGGAGGACTTCGGCTGAAGGGCCAGTTAGTGATGCCGAGAGATCAATAGTTGAAGAAGGACTTATTTGACGAGGCACATCGTTCTAGGTACACGGTGCACAGGCATAACAAAAATGTACAAGGACATAAAGAGACACTTTTGGTGGAGCGTCGCGCGTAAAGAGATCGCAGAATATGTGGCTAAGTGCTTTATCTTCCAACAAGTGAAAGCAGAACATCAGAGACCAGTAAGAACGATCCGGAGTGGAAATGGGCAGATATTTATATGGACTTTATTGTAGGATTACTAAGATCGAAGAATGGGAATGATTCAATTAGGATAATAGTAGATCGGTTGACGAAGTCAGCATATTTCATACCAGTAAAGATGACTTACACGGTAGAGATTTATGCGAGGATATTCATCCAGGAGATATTGAGATTACATGGAGTTTCAGAGGCGATTGTATCAGACCGAGGCTCAGCTTTCACTTTGCACATTTGGAGAAGCTTCCAGAATTTTTCAGGTAGCCAGTTGTTATATTCTTGTGATTTTCACCCGCAGATAGATGGACAAATGGAGAGAGAGTCAACCAAGGGTTGGAGGATATGTAGCGGGCTTGTAATATAGATTTCCAGGGTAGTTAGGAGGACCACATCCTATTGATTGACTTCGCTTATAACAATAGTTACCAAGTGATAATTGGTATGGCACCGTATGAGGCATTATACGGGAGGCCTTGTAGATCGTCTAGTTGCTGGGCAGAACCAGAGGACAACCTTGTTTGTGGGAAATTTTGTAATAAAAAGACTATAAGGAAAGAATTGCGTTTGATTTTATTCTCTCTAACTGCTTAGAAAAAGAATGATTACAACTCTCTCAACTCTCGATTACAATTTGGATTCCTGGTTACAAAAGAGAAGAGAATGATCTGGATTCTCCCCTTTGTTTAATTCTGGGTTCTTCACGGTAGCGATGAGATGCCTCCCTCGAATGCTTGCGTCGAGTTTGCTTCTCGTTGACGATCCGAATATCTATACTCACTGGAACAACTGTCTTGGCCGGTTGATAACTCTTGTCGAGTTTTGTGATTCAGAACAAGTAACAAACTCTAATGATAGAGTTGTTGGAACCGAAAATAATTCGGTTAATAAGCCAAATATCGATGGTTTAGAGATCCTCCGTTTGTTGATTTCCCAGACTGTGTAAGGAATCAATCCTCCTTTTTCTAATTCTGGAAGATTTGATCGAAAGATCCCCCTCCGATTAATGAAAAGAAATCTCTCTTGATCTGATTATCAAAAACCCGATCTCCCCAATCCAAAAAGAGATCCCTTACTCTGTTGAGTTTGTTGCTATTTATAGGGGGATTAAGGGTGTAACTGCCCCCATAATCCACGCCTAAATGGGGGTTTAGTTACCCCATTAGTCGGGTGTAACAACCCACTAAAGCCACTCCTCAAATCGTGGGTGAAGAACAGCTTCGAAGTTGTTACGATCACGTTTGAATGAGTCAGAACCTTGACCTGCGTTCTGGCGGTGATTGAGCTGCGTTTGGCAGCGACTGACGGGCTGCGTTGGGCAGTGATGGATGAGTTGCGTCGGCAGCGGTTGATAAGCTGCGTTGGGCAGCGGTTGATAAGCTGCGTTGGGCAGCGGTTGATAAGCTGCGTTGGGCAGCGGTTGATAAGCTGCGTTGGGCAGCGGTTGATAAGCTGCGTTGGGCAGCGGTTGATAAGCTGCGTTGGGCAGCGGTTGATAAGCTGCGTTGGGCAGCGGTTGATAAGCTGCGTTGGGCAGCGGTTGATAAGCTGCGTTGGGCAGCGGTTGATAAGCTGCGTTGGGCAGCGGTTGATAAGCTGCGTTGGGCAGCGGTTGATAAGCTGCGTTGGACAGCGGTTGATAAGCTGCGTTGGGCAGCGGTTGATAAGCTGCGTTGGACAGCGGTTGATAAGCTGCGTTGGGCAGCGGTTGATAAGCTGCATTGGGCAGCGGTTGATAAGCTGCGTTGGGCAGCGGTTGATAAGCTGCGTTGGGCAGCGATGGAGCTGCGTTGGGCAGCGATGGAGCTGCGTTCGAGCTGTGCTTGGCAGCGATTGGAGCTGCGTTCTAGCTGTTGATTGTTGTAGTATTTAGATTTCTCTGTCTTTATATATGGATGACACCAAAGACCAGTAAAGAAGGTCTTATTCAGGCCATTTGTGACAATTGAGGCATCTCAATAACGCTCTATCAACTGCAGGTCATGATCTCCACTGAGTGTGTCGAATATCATTACACTGCTCATCAGCACCTCTAATGGTTGCTAATATAATATTAGTCATGTTGTTGTCGCAGCCATCAAGATCAATCATCTCACATAAGAAGCTGCATTCGTGTTTATAGCTGTTGAAGCGGCGTAGGTGATTGAATCGGTGTAGTGTCTTGATGATGGTACGCGGGGAGGACTTCCACGTCTTGGTTTGAAGAGATCGTCGATTTGTAATCCTTTCTGTCAGAGTATTGCTAAAGACTGTCGTTTTGTAATCTTTGCTTTAACTCTTTGACATGTGAAAATCTTCGAATTGTAGTCTTCTGGAAGTCGTCAGATTGTAACTTCCATCATCAGTGTTCGATGGAGACTCAGCTATCCATTGTGATTTTTAGACAGCCTACAGAACCCCCTCCAAAGTTTTCGAAAGTTCGCGGTTGACTGGGACGAATTTTCGAAATACTTTGGAACCCAAAGATTTTGTTAATCAAATGCTCATCATCACAGGTTGAGTGGAGCACCTTCGTTGACCTCTTCATTCTCCAAAATGAATTGGGCTTTATCTTCAAGGAAACTGGACATTTCTGGGCTTATGAAAAATTTGTCATCACAGATGGAGAGAACCACAAGCCTGTATAAGAAGGATTTTATCCCCAGCTTAGTCTGGAGACTGGCTTCAGAGGAATTCGCTTTATCTTCTCTTTTGATCATATCGCCATTACTTGGAATATTAACCCCTTTGAATGGGTTATTTATATGATATGCTGAGGTTGGCCATCAGAACGCACGCCTATATCCTGCGTTCTCCTGTTTGAACGTGAGGGTGCGTTCGGTAACTGAAGCCCCTCTTTTTGAAAACGCGAGAATCACGTTTCAGGTGAGATTTTACCCCAAAATCTCGCTTCGATTTAACAGCTACAGCTGTTTATAAATAGACCACTGAGGTCAAATCAAAAGGTCATTCGACTTTTCTCCTTTTTTACTCAGTTTCTTAACAGAGCTCCTGTTCATCTTCTCCAGCGCTTCAACGGAGGAAAAGATCCGTTCCCGAATACTTCGTCTGTCTTCGTCTTCCTTGCCACGGTTGCCATGGGCCTGAAGAAGAAAATGGCTTCCAAATCGAAGATCGCCGAAGCTCAGGGTGCTTGTTCGGCTAGAACCCCCGGGGATGATCAAGTCCCCGCGCCTTCGTCGCCGACTTCTTCAACTAATGGTAAGGTTGAACCATTAGAAGTTGGTTCGACAAATCTCTCATCCCCAACCCTTGATTGACGATCTGTATTTCACCCTTAAACCCGAGAGATAATTCTCAGTGTTCAAGAAAACGAATGGGGAGCCCCATCGTTCATAAAATTTCAACGCAGGTTTAGATCCTGCGTTTAAAATCTTGGATGTAGGTAGAGACCCAGCGTTCGGGTTTCTGAACGCAGATCCGAACCTTGCGTTCGTAAACTGAGACCCTGTGTTCAATAGTCCGAACGCAGGTCTAAAGCTTGTGTTCGAACATTTAGAGACCCTGCGTTCAATAGTCCGAACGCAGGTCTAAAGCTTGCGTTCGAACATTCAGATGCGGGTTGAGACCCTGCATTTAATGGTCTGAACACAAGTCTGAGCTTCATTGAGTTGGATTTTTTTTTTTTTGACTGACTTTTCTATTTGCAATATGCTACTCCAAAGAGTCTCTTTCCTTCAACCACTACCTTGGTCATGCGGGAGGTGCGGAGAAGAATACAGCCTTCAGTTTCGCTTTCGAATATCCAGTGTTTCAGAATATCCATAAAGAACGGTCGAAGCTCATCACCCAAGCTTTCCCCGAGACTCTTAGATCCTTGGTTACGGATGCTAAATTTGAGACTGCTGAACGTGAGGTTTTAAAGAAGCCATCCTTCCTCTTCGGGGATTCTGTTAAGATGGACCCCAAGCGAGTGTTGGAAGGGAACTATAAATGGTTGAGGACTGTCAATAATCGTCGCCTTTTCCTTCCAAATCTGGAGCGGATGTGGCCATTTTCTTACTATCAGTGCGCTTCAATCCCGCGGTCGATGAATTGGGATCTGGTCCAGGATCAAGGAGGTGTTGCCACAGGGCACATCACTCATCGGGGCACGCATCCGGCCGGATTCAACAATTTTATAGCTTTGAAGCCAGGTTTATTCCAGAAAGAACATCCTGTCGGAGAGCCTGCTAAATTGGCAGAAGTGTTCGTTAGAACATTTATTTCTGTCAAGGGAGAGTTCCCTGCTCGAGATTTCAGGGCCCCTACTTGGGTTCACTCCAGTGATGCAGACTGGTGGGCTCGGATGATAAATTTCGTCTTGGAGGAGCTAGAAGAACCTTTGAGAATTTCGGATTTAAGAGTTCCGATAACAGCCACTCGATATGGCATTTCTCCGAATTACAACGGACTCTTTGCTACGCTGGAGTTCTACAACCCTCACACCGGCACCTTTTTCACTCCCGTTGGTGAACTGGGCTTTGCTCTCCACGAAATGTTTGAAATTTCTGGATTGTCCTTCGGAGAATTGCCTTATGAGGAGTTTGTTCCCGGAAGCAGGGAATTAGAGATCTTGAAAAAGGATGCTCCCGAAATCTACGACACTTACTGGGAATTGATGTGCCATTTCCAGATTTGTGCGCAAGTTACTGGGAAGAGAGCAAGCGGCGTGAAACAAGGACAATGGGCGGAATATCTTTTCCACAATCTGTGGGACAAAGAAGCTGAGGTGACTCGCTTAGCGGCTAGTACCCTCGAGGAGATCACGGAACGCATCAACGACGCAACCTCTCATTATACTTGCGAGGTAGAAGAGGATGTCTTCCCGGCGTTTACCACGTTCGAAAGCTTCCACTATCAGGCAGAAGTCCCTATCTCGGACATGGCTTTGTTCGCTGGTTTTCTGACTCTTTGGTTGAAGCGTTGCGTGGTACCCACAAGGCCAGTGGATGCTATTACAGTAGAAGTTTTATACCCTGCTGTTCTACTGGCTTATGGACGACCTTTGAACCTTCTTTCAGCCATGGTGTGCTGTTTACAAAGTGGCTTGCGGGAACTATCTTCTGAGTTCATTGCCGTCAAGAAAGTGGATTCTGACGGGACGACCGTCATTCAAACCCCAACCCCTCGGGTGCCGATGCCGTATATTTACTTGGTATCTTGGTTTGTGCTGCACTGCCCTCCAATAATGACGACTCCTGAATCAAATGACACCTCAACCCCTCTTGTTCAGCAATTAGAAACTTCTGACTGGGCTGGTTGGTACCAAGTTAAATTCCGTGAAATTTTGAGACGGGATTATAATTACAAGATTGCTGTCAAGTTTCCCGCCTTCGAGGGTGGCGCGTATGGAGAACTTCATCAAGACTCTCCGGGGCCGAATTCTTTCACCATGCTTAGCAAGGGCGCTTTTTGGTGGCTCATAAACATTCGTCCGGGCTATCTTATTTTTCGACAAGGGCGGAAATGCTTTATTGAACCATATCAGCCTTATCGCTTTTCTCGGCAATTTGGCTATGATCAGCTCTATGTTGGGAACCCAAACCCTACTCTTGCATTCATAGGTAATGTGTATGAAGGAGCGAGAGCTTGGTTTTACTCAGTGGCTGGTTGCACTGGAGCGAAATTCCGACTTCCTCACAAGATGCCCAATGCTCGCACCTCTCTGAGCTTCTGTACCTGGTACCAAGCCGCTTCTCAGCTTTCAGCCTATAACATGAATACTTCTTGTTTGAAGGACATCCGCAAATGGTATGCTTCGAAGAGGAGCGCTAAAAAGTTTCGCGCCCGAGGAGCTAATGAATACTTGTCCTATGAGAAGTTAATTCCAGAGGATGAACGGCAGCAATCACCGGAGCGAGTTCCGGAAGAGATCAGGATGCCGGATACTCGCGAAGTGGAACCTTCAAGAGTCTTGACTCGAAGTCAGAGTGCCAGTGGAAAAAGAAAGCTGGGGTCAGTCGATGAAGCAGAGTATGACAAGAGAGCCCGTCGGAAGTTAACGCTCGGACCCCCGGCTTCCAAACTTATGTCGGATGCTCAGAAAGCCTGGCGTGCCGAAGAAGACCAAGAATCGACTGCTATGGAACTCTCGCCTCGGCCTAGTCTCCCTACTGTTGGTCCTGCTTTAGGAAGCCATGATCCTTCTGCTCATTCATTGCATGAAGAAGAGCGTGGAGATGAATCTTTTGCAGGGGGTGCAGAGTTTGTCCCCGAAGATACACTTCATGATACTGCCTCCACTACCCCTCATGTTGCCGAAGACGTAGCTCCTGTCCAAGAACCTCTAGAGGCTGCCCAACAAAGCTCAGCAACGGGCAAGTCTCCTTCAACTTCTGTGTTATTGCCAATTATAGGAGATTCACAGTCTAGCCCTACTACTGGAATCGTAGCAAAGCCTATTGTCGTCGAAGATGCGCCAGCACTACCTCCCGTGGGCGGAGAGGAACTCATGGATCATGGTGATGATGCGGACGCCGCAAATGATGATGGTGACCAAAGCGGGAATGAAGGGGATAATGACAACCTGGGTGATGACATTGATGAACTTTATGACTGGGGTGTTCCACCACCCTCCTTTTCTGACAAGGCGTCACCTTACATTCCTCTACCTCTTGCTGGTAAGTGTCGTTTGTTTCGACTCGACTGATCTTCAATCTGTATTTACATAATTTTTCCATACAGATCCCATGGTACATGAAGCGAGTACTGTCACTCCTCCCTCGTCGCAACAGCTTATGCTATTACCGGCTCAGGTGTCAGAGCCACCTCGCTTGGAGACCTCAATGACGATTCTCCCGCCGACAACTTTGTTGACAATTTCTTTAGCTTCTACAGAAGTTGTAGACGTGCCAAGGTCATCTCAAATGGGGGAACTGATGGCTATGCAATCGAGCCCCTCTCAGCTGGATATTGGCACTCCTTCTCAAGCTACTACACCGAAATCACCTGCCGGCCTTTTACTTGGCTTTGCATCTTCGGAAGTTTCTGTACCATCTCCTATTGCTGTTTCGAGCCCCGCAGACGTACCAGATTTTGTCAAGATTTCCCTTGACTACTTGAGAGGGCTTACCAAGAAAATAATTGAGGTTGTGCTAGCCGGACGAGATACTTTTGATACCTTCAAACCCATGCTCACGAATAGTTTGAACAACCTCAAGCTTGTAGGTGACGTCGACGTCGTTCAGCGCTGCTCTGAAGCTATCTCACGTCTAGAAGGACAACTCAGATTCTTGGAAGCTTTAGGTCGCGCTGATATCCAAGCGCAGATTGCATCTACTTTTGAGGATATTCGAGCCGAAGAACTCAATAAGTATGAAGCCGCTCAACGTCATATAGCTGAGGAAGAGGTTGAGGTTGAACAACTGCAACAGCTACATGCTCAAAAACAAGTTGAGCTGACACTTTCGAATACTTCTCTGGAGAATTTGCGAGAGAAGATCGCTGCCGCTGAAGTGGAGTTGACTAGGATGAAGGCTCAATTCAAACGAGAAGAATCTATTGTCACTGAGCTCAACGTCAAAAGTGCTGCTTCCCTGGTGAATTACCGTGCCAAGGCTGGTGCTCTGGAAGAGGCTAAGAAGGAGGTATCTGCCATGCTGTCTAGTGAGGACGAGCTTCGGAAACGGGCCGAGATGCTGGTTCGGGCCGACCATGAAGAAAAACTTTCTGACATTAAGTCTCAGCTAACTTCATTTGATCTGATGAATTGATGAGCCTGTTTTCGTATCGTTCTTTTGGTAGGAACAACACTTATCTTAGGTCACCTTGTTTTCCTTTAAATAAAGGTAGTGTTGCCGTTTGGCTTTTTATTGTTTCTTTTTCATATCATGTTTTGACATGGAACAATGAAATACCAATTTGATATTGCGACAACAACTATTTATTCCTCTTGTATTATGCTTTTGCCTTAAATACTGGAAGAATAATGTAAATGCCAGGAATACAGTATTAACGTGGCACACTTTGTGGTCCCGTCGCTCTATTGTTAAGAGTCGACGAGTGGAAGGTGTTGCGATTGGAGCAACTTTGAGGACTTATCGCTCTATTGACGAGAGTCGATAAACTAGAAGTGTTGCGATTGGAGCAACTTTGAGGACTTATCGCTCTATTGACGAGAGTCGATAAGGTAGAAGTGTTGCGTTCAGGGCAACTTTGAGGACTTATCGCTCTATTGACGAGAGTCGATAAGGTAGAAGTGTTGCGTTCAGGGCAACTTTGAGGACTTATCGCTCTATTGACGAGAGTCGATAAGGTAGAAGTGTTGCGTTCAGGGCAA